CAGAAATGTTGCAAATCCCCTGTGTTTTTGGACCCTGATCCTGTCGATCAGGGTGAGGGGTGCCACCGAATTTCAGAAATGTGGCAAATCCCCTGTGTTTTTGGACCGTGACCCCGCCGATCTGCGTGAGGGGTGCCACCGAATTTCAGCAATGTGGCAAATCCCTTATGTTTTTGGACCCTGACCCTGCCGATCTGCGTGAGGGGTGCCACCGAATTTCAGCAATGTGGCGAATCCCTTATGTTTTTGGACCCTGACCCCGCCGATCTGCGTGAGGGGTGCCACCGAATTTCAGAAATGTTTAGAATCCCATAGGTTTTTGCACCCTGACCCCGCCGATCTGCGTGAGGGGTGCCACCGAATTTCAGAAATGTTTAGAATCCCATAGGTTTTTGCACCCTGACCCCGCCGATCTGCGTGAGGGATGCCACCGAATTTCAGCAATGTGGCAAATCCCTTACGTTTTTGGACCCTGACCCCGCCGATCTGCGTGAGGGGTGCTAGCGAATTTCAGAAATGGGGCAAATCCCATGAGTTTTTGGACCCTGACCCCGCCGATCTGCGTGAGGGGTGTACATTTTTGCCCACTCCAGCAATTCAGCACACGCTCAGGGCGTGCTAAACCTGCCCGTTTGGGCCTCCCCCTCCTCGAGCGGTCCATCAACAAGGAACAGTAAGCAGCAAGAAGCAGAACTGTAACAGTGGAAACTGGAAGCTGCAACTGGTACAGGAAACTGCGAGCCTTCGCCCTACAGCCTGGTGGCCCCACAAGGGGGCCGGCGGATTTTTCATGCTTCCAACGCTCAGAGACGACCGAAGAGACTCCCGAGACCGCCCCAAGACCGCCCAAAAGCCTCCCAAGACAAGCTGAAGGCGGGCCCAGGACGGGCCCTCTGCCACAAGGCCCCCTGGCCATCTCAGAGACCGACCCAAGCAGCCCCGCTTGGAAGCACTCTTCGGCCACTCTGGAGCTATGGTTGAGGCTCAAAGGGCTCATTCTTGAGCCCTCTCTTCGGGGGCTCCTTGGGTCCTCCCTCGAGTCCTCTGTCGCCTTCTCGATGGCCGACCCAAGGGGCCCCGCTCTCTTGGACCCCTCTTGGAGTCAACTTTGGCCATCACGGGGCCATCTGTGGGCCCTCTCTTCAGGGCTCCTTGGGTCCGCTCTCGACACTGCCGTCAGTTCGCCGGCGACTGACCCGAGGTGCTCCGCCTGAAGGTCCGCTGGGGTTTCCCTTGAAGCCATCCTTGGACCTCATGGCGCCGTACTTGGCCCCTCTCTTCGAGGCCTCTTGGGCTCTCTACCAGACCGCCCTTCGGTTTGTCGGGGACCGACCCAAGGACACCCGCCAGGAAGCCGTCTTGTACTCCTCCCCAGGGTGTCCGGGAGCCCCAGACCCTTGAGGGGCCCGGCTTAAAAGACCCTTGAGGCATCCAAGAACAGCCCAAGAGAGCTGCGAGAGCCGTCCCGAAAGAGCCCAAAGACGGTAAACTCGTTGATTTCCAATGGTTTTTCTAATGTTTTGCCGCTTCCAACCCTCGAAGATCGATGATTTTGAAAAAAAACGTGAATTCCAAGAATTCCATTTTTTTTTTCAAAGTGGACTCCTACCGCGCCTCCCGGCTTCCCGGGGCCCCCAAGACGCCCCAAGGGCAGCCCATGACGACCCCAAGAAGCTCCCAGAACGTAAAGAACGGCCAAGCACGCTCCCGCGCAGCCCGAGGCACCCTTCCGACGGCTCTCCAGGCCTCCAGGAGGCCTCCAGAACCCCCAGGGGCTCCGGAAGATCCCACACCCCTGAGGGGCCCAGCTAACAAAACCCGCGAGACACAAACAAAAAACAGCGCCGAACAGCGCCGAGGAACTCGAAAAAGATGGTAGTCCCACAATTCCTTCTTCTTCTTTTTCCAAGTTTGGCCCCCGGTCTACTCTTGCACAACAGACCACAATTCAGACCCCCCTCACCTCTCAAAAAGAACCCAGGACGCCTTTGAGGGCCCCAAATTGTTGAATACCTAAAGGAAATTAGTGATTCCTGCGTTTCCGCACTTCCCCGTCGATACGATTCCAAGGCTTGCACAGGGCCTCCAAGAGAGTCCCTGGACGCATGAAGCGACCAAAATGAGATTACATGAATCAGCCTATCAAGCCTATTCCTCTTCCTATATTTGACAAGCCTGGGCGGGGGGAAAACCCGTCACTCCCCCAAAACCTGATTCCCGGGATCTGGGGCTTTGGAACCCTCTGGACGGGCCTCGAAGCGGCCCCCCAGGCCTCGCAGGGCGTTTTGCCAAGCCTTCCCAGCACACCTAGGGCGATCAGGGGGGTCATCGGAGACGTCCCAGAGACCCCCAAGACAGCACAAGAGCGCTCCAAGAGTGACCGACGTGACCTCAAGATGGCCCAAAAGGCCTCCAGGACGGCCCAATGAGGCCTCCAAGAGCACTCCCAAGAAGGCCCCAAGAGGCACAAATCTTTGATTTTCTGTCGGTTTTTGCTGAATTTTGGGGTTCTCCTCTTTTCGGCTTCCCGACGCTCTACACGGCGGTCTTCTGGGCGTCCGAAGCCGCCTGGGAGGCTCCAACATCGCCCCACAACCATCCGAGAGGGCTTCCAGGCAGTCCAAGAGAGCCCCAAAACGGCACAACACGGGTCCAAGATGGCCCTCAGAGCGCCCCATGGCGGCCCAAGATGGCCCCAAGACAGCCTCCGAAGCATTCCAAATCGTGACCCGGTCGATCAGGGAGACCGCGGTTGGAGGCAGGGTGGCCTGAGGAAGTCCCCAGAGGCCCCCAGAATACGCCCAGGAGGCCTCCAGAAGGCCTTACGAAAGAATGAAACAATTTTTGTGAGGCCCCCAGAGGCTCTCCAAGGAGGAGCCTTTGCAAAAAAGAGCTGAGGAGGATGGGGAGAATGCGCAGGGTACGGCGAACATAAGGAAAAACACATGGAGGAATGATAATGAATAACATTATTTCAGCGGCGATGCCAGAAAAGGCAACAAGGAGTTATCTCTGAATTATCGGCTTGACCTTCCTGCTATTCCGCCTGCATGCCAAACTTCAAGGACCAAGGTGCATGGCGCGAAGCGCCACTGCAATCTTGTATATATATAATTGTTTATATATATACATATATATATATATATTCGATCTCGAAGGCCTTACGACACCGTGTGGTTGTTGCTGTTGTTGTTGCTGCTGCTGTTTACATCGAACATATAACACATATATGTATACACACATGTGTTTGTTTACATGTGTCTTTACATGTATATATTTACATATATATATATATACATACACATATGATGATTGCGACATGCGCGCGCGACGAGGCGCGCGTGTACGCGTGCGTATGCTCTTCGTCTTTTTTTGCGAGGCAGTATTTAATTCTGATGGTTATTGATATACGAGTGCGTGCGCATAATAATTTTCTGCAGAGGATGACGACGGGGGTGGTACCGGCCTGGCTGGGATGGTATGAGTTCATGTTTAGGATTGACGATGGGGCATAATCATGCACATGTAACTTGCAAAACGCAAAGGGGTACCCGTAATCCGGGGGGGAGGCGGACAAGGAGAAGGAGGAGGAGGAGGTGGAGGAGGAGGAGGAGGATGAGGAGGAGGAGGAAGAGGAGGAAGAGGAGGAGGAGGAGAAGGCGGAGGAGGAGGTGGTGGAGGTGGGGAGGGGAGGAGGAGGAGGAGGGAGGAGGAGGAGGAGGAGAGGAGGAGGAGGAGGAGGAGGAGGAGGAGGAGGAGGAGAGGAGGAGGAGGAGGAGGAGGAGGAGGAGGAGGAGGGGAGGAGGAGGAGGAGGAGGAGGAGGAGGAGGGAGGAGGCAGGAACAGAGGAGGGAAGGACTGGACGATGACAAGGAGGATGAGAAGTCTGATTTTGGAAGTCTGTTGTTGTGAGAGGTTCTTAAGGACGGTTAAGACTCCATGGAGCCTCTTCGGGCACTCTTGGGGACCTCTTGGGGCTCTCTTTGGGGTCTTTGGGCCCTCTTGGGGCTCCTTTGAAGGGTCTGGGAGGTCTCTTAGGCCCCAGGGCTCAAGCGGAGGGGAGGTCCTCAATTCAGGTCCCCCCCATCGGAGGTTCAACAATGCCGTTTTGGGGCCCTCTTGGGCCGCTCTTGGAGCGCTCTTGGGCGCTCTTAGGGGCCCTCTTGGGCTCTCCTGAGCCCCTCGAGGGGCTCTCTTGGGCCGTTTTTGGGCCATCTTGAGGCCTCCGAGGCCCATCGGAAGCGAACAGGCGAGAGCGCAAAACATATTGATCCTCCCTGGGTTTTTGGAGCCATTTCGGCCTCTTGGGGGGTCTTCGGATGGCTCGGCGGGCACTTGAAGCCGTCTTGGGGCCATCTTGAGGCCTCTTGGATGTGTGTTAGAGGCTATCTTGAGCTCTTGGACCCATCTTGGAGGCCATCTTGGGCTATCTAGGGCCCTATCGGAGCCATCTTGGGCGCTCTAACTACCCGCGCCCCCCCCCCTTCCAGGCCCCAGGGAGGGGGTATGGGGGAGGGGCAGGGGAAGGAGGATTTCAGCAGAGAGAAGACACACGTTCGTTAAACCACCTACGCTCAGAGGGCTGGTGGGATTTTGGCTTCTCTGTGACCTCCATGGGAAACGCTGGGACCACCTCGGAATTATCTTAGGGCCTGTTGGGGTCATCCTAGAACCGATCTTGGGTCAACTTGGGTCATCGTGGGCCATCTCGGACGCCACTTATGCTTAGTAAGGGGCATCGTTAGCAACATTATGCCATGCTGTAGGCCCTCAGGGAGCTAACTCAAGGCCGCTCACGTTTTTGAACATCCTCTGGCTCCAGGGCCCGCGACACCCTAGGCCGTGGTGCAGCAGGTCCATCCCCTCCACTTCACTGGCGGGGACGAGGGTGGGGTGGGGAAGTGGCGAGAGGGAGGCGAGGATCTTTCAGCCATCAGGACGGCCCCGGCGGGCAGGGGGGGGCGACCGGGCCGGTGGGTGCGCGTGGCGCCCGCGGTGAGGATGAACGCCCACCAGTGCTCCACGCCGAGGGGCGTCTTGACGCCGTGGGCTGCGCACGCGCCCAGGAGCGCAGCCGGGTGGGCCGGTGTGGGTTGGTCGGTGGACGGGCGAGATGATGCTGATGATGATGATGCTGCTGCTGATGATGCTGATGCTGATGAGGATGATGCTGTTGATGATGATGATGCTGATGAGGATGATGATGCTGATGAGGATGATGATGCTGATGATGATGATGCTGATGATGATGATGATGATGATGATGGTGATGATGATGATGATGATGGTGACGATGACCACGACGACGGCGACGACGAACATGAAGATGATGACGATGATGACGAGGATGGGGGGGATTCGTTGATGACTGAGGCGATGCCGCTGGCACGGCTGCCTCTGTGCTGGTTTTTTCTTCGCCACTCTCCTTGTCTTCATCTCTGTTTGCTTAGGGCAGGTGGCGATCTCTAATGCCTTCGGCATCGGACCGACCGACCGATGGGGAGGAGGGAGGAGGAGGAGGAGGAGGAGGAGGAGGAGGAGGAGGAGGAGGAGGTATCACGCTTGAACTGTACACTCAGGGCGGGGAGGGGCGGCAGGCTAGTGATTCGGGTGAAAGTGTGCGCAGAGATAGAGTCAATCTAAGGCCAATTCGGCTGGGTTAGATTCAGCTAGTCAGGAATAGGATTCATATACCACGTGTGACGGTTAAGGTGGCGGTGAAGGTGAAGACAATGATACAGACGGTTGTAATACCGAGCATCTGTACAAACATGCATCGATAGTAGGGTGAAGGCAATGTCACGATTTGTGTTCAAGCTGGTGAATGTAGTAATGTTAAAGGCGCGTGGATGTATTTGCAATTCCAATGACAACACCTGAAAGTTCAGTGTAAGTTCACAGTTCCATGCACGTGCACATCCAAATGTGCGCACTTGAACTACAACGAACGCGTATGTACAGGTGGCTGTACTTGCGATTCTAACTATACTTACCAACCTATTATGCGATACATGTGTGATGTATCAGAACTTACGTGTGTAACGTATCCTAGAGCATGGTAGCTATATCTTCAACCTTATTGTTTAGCCACGCGTTTCATCTATGGTACATGCAGAATCGCATGGCTAGTCTACACTGTCGTGTAACAAGGTAGGCGCATCTATGATGGCTGTCAGTGTAAATCTAGGGTTGGCTGTTTAGCTGTGCTTGTTGTTGTAGCAGTACGTGTGGCCATCGTACCACGTTCAGCGAGGTAAACGACCACCGGGCATATTTTATCCAATCGCGTATCTATTTGTAGACATGCACAAAGTCGGCATGGATCAAGCGTTTGTAACACTCATGCTTTTGTAAGGGCAACAGCACATGTGCTGGCGCAGATGAAGGCAAAGGCCGGGGAACACGTAATGGTCAAGGGGATTCCAGGGTACGGGTATTTGTTCAGTCAACGACGGATGTACACGCTTTCCATTTCAATCAGCAGCATGGCACTGTAAAGGTGTAGGGTGTGCACTCGCAAAGGGCGCGCACTGGTAGCAAGCATGTTGGGACCGTTCTAGTGCTCAGGAACGAGGTGGCACCAGGACCACTAAGCGAGGCCTCCAGTCTAGGCTGGCCAGGATATTCAGAAACTCTGGGCGACGCTTGAGTATGAGGATGGGTTAGAGGAGGAGGAGAAGGAGGAGAAGGCTGATGCTGCTGGTGTTGGTGAGGATGATTGGAGGATGGTGATGGTGGAGAGGAGGAGGATGAGGACGAAGAGGAGGAGGAGGCGGAGTAGGAGGAGGAGGAACTGGGGCAGGCGGAGGGGGATGAGGATTGTGATGATGATGATGATGATGATGATGATGATGATGATGATTATGATGATGGTGATGGTGATGGTGATGGTGATGATGATGATGATGATGATGCTGATGACGATCATGATGATGCTGATGATGCTTACGACTACTACTACTACTACTTCTACTACTACTTCTACTTCTTCTTCTTCTTCTACTACTACTACTACTTCTACGCTTCCTTCCTACTACTACTACTACTACTACTACTACTACTACTACTACTACTACTACTACTACTACTACTACTACTACTACTACTACTACTACTACTACTACTACTACTACTACTACTACTACTACTACTACTACTACTACTACTACTACTACTACTACTACTACTACTACTACTACTACTACTACTACTACTACTACTACTACTACTACTACTACTACTACTACTACTACTACTACTACTACTACTACTACTACTACTACTACTACTACTACTACTACTACTACTACTACTACTACTACTACTACTACTACTACTACTACTACTACTACTACTACTACTACTACTACTACTACTACTACTACTACTAGTACTACTACGACGACGACGGCGACGACGACGACGACGACGACGACGGCGACGACGACGACTACTACTGTTATTGTTTTATACATACTATGTTTTGCTATTAAGTATATTTTCATTATCATTACTACGCGTATTCTTAGTATCCGTATATTTTTTCGTGTTGCTAGTATTAAGCTACATCGCATGATTAGTTTTGTTACTATTCTGCTGCTGCTGATGATAGCGATGATTATGCTGCTGATGATGATGCTGATGATGATGACGCTGATCATGCTCATGCTGATGATCAGATGCTCGTGGCAGCCTCGCACGGTCAAGGGTGAGACGCGGAGACGGGTCCTTGCGAGCTTCCGTCGGCGCTCTCTCTCTCTCTCTCCATCTCTCTCTCTCTCTTTCTCCCCCTCCTCTCTCTCACACTCTCTCTCTCTCTCTTCCCCCCCTGTCTCCTTAAGTTGCTTCTGGTCAGCGTTGCGTGCTTCTGGTTCCCTCGTCCTGCCCGCTCCCGTCGTTTACAGCATCTTGCATATGCAGGCGGCCCAGATCAGTAGGTCGACCCTGCCAGATCAAGGGTACTCTCGTGTCCTGCGCATCGCGCGTCGTGCTCTCTGCAGCCCAGGGGCAAGGCATACTCTTGCGCCCTGGGCCATGTTGCCGTCGGAGGAGTCTCGTGTCCTGTCGCGTGTACTGTGCGCAATGTTCTGCCTGTAGGCTGGGGGGCCCGCAGATGGAGGACAGAAGGCGATCCACGTGTCCATCAAAAGAGATCCCGCCACCAGGCCTCAGAGAGTGGCCCCAGGAGGGGCTCGCGATTGATCCTGCCGCTTATGCATCCTCAGCGCGCAGGGGAGATTCGGGCCGCAGATCCCAGCCGCTCGCGCGGTGGGGGTGGCCCCAGACATCCGATACTCTTGTTCCTTCAATGCGGGGTCCCTGGAAGTCCCGACCCCTCCCCAGGGACAGTTTTTCATCCCCAGCAGTTTTTTGACCGTCCTGGCGCCCAGCGAGGGCCCTCGGAGTCCGAAAACGGTTCAACATTTTCCGTCGTGTTTTTTTTTTCGCGACTCGAGGGTGTTTGGGAGAAGGGAGCAATTCGAAGAGGTGACCGCAGATCGTAGCGGGCTGCGCCGTCGTCGTCGCCGTCGAGGCCGTTGGTTCCCTCATCGTCGCCGTCGTCGTCGCCATCGCCGCCACCATCGTCGCCGTCGTCGCCGTCGTCGCCGTCGCCGTCGCCGCCGTCGTCGCCGTCGTTGCCGTCGCCGTCGCCGTCGTCGCCGTCGTCGCCGCCGTCGCCGCCGTCGCCGTCGTCTTCGTCGCCGTCGTCGTTGTCGTCGTTGCCGTTTGCTGGAGGGCTGTCGGGCCTCCTCTCGGGGAGCGCCCTCGGGGGGGCGGCCGCAGACCGCCGGTGGGCCCCGCGCGCGCGCGCGACGCGGGCAGGGCCGCGGCCGGCGCGCGGCCGGTGGTGGTGGCGGTGCCCTGCGGCAGCGGCGCGGTGCTGCCCGCGCCGCCCTGGCGGCAGGCGGGCGGGCCGCGGGCAGGGGCGGCGGGCACTTCGGGGGCCCCTGGGAGCGACGGGGCCGCTTTTTTTTTCTACCGGTTCCGTGTCGCCGTTTTCTTTTGCCGCTTCCGACGCCGTTTTTTTTTTTTTTTTTTTTTTTTTTTTTTTTTTTTTTTTTTTTGTTTTTTGTTTTGTTCTCTCTAATTCTCTCTCTCTCTATTATATTATATATAAAATTATATATTTGTATATATATATAATATATATATTATATATATATATATATATACCGGCTCCGTCGCCGGTTTTTTACGGGTTCCCGCTCCGGCTCCAGTCCTGGAGCCGTTCTTGTCGCCGTTTCCTGTCGCCGTTGTTTTGTGCCGTTTCCATTTTCAAGGGACACTTTTCTGGAAACGGTGAAAAATCGGCCCTGCCGTTTCCGGGGCCCACTGAGGGGAGGGCGGGCCGCGGGCAAGGGCGGTGGGCAGTCCGGGGCTCGAGCTGGGCGGTGCTCTGGCGATCTCGTGGGCCGTTGTCGTTCTGATTGCGCTTCGCAGCACAGGCAGAACGAAGGCAGAACGAAGGCAGAACGAAGGCAGAACGAAGGCAGAACGAAGGAGACGACGCGAAAACGAACAACACTGTTCGGCTCGAGCCCTGGGGCAATCCGCAAAGCAGGTGCGGTTGGGTGGTGCGGTCGGGAATTTGTGGGTAGCGTTTCGCGCCGCCTGGGTTCGAGGTTCGAGGTTCGAGGCCCGCGGTTTCGGAGTTCGAGGTTCTGGGGCGTCCTTGTCGGTTCTCGGCGGCTTCCCAGCCACGGGGTGCTTTCCAGCGGCTGCGCCGCTCCGGGCGTGCCAGGAGCGTCTCGCTCGGGCGCCAGAGAGCCGAGGTATGACCCGGAAGCCATCAGGGACGGGGAGACGGTCGGGGACTTTGGCTTAGAGTGTCGCGCGGCCTCTTTCAGCCACGCGCAGAGGGGGGTGGGGGGGGGGGGGGGGGCTTCTTAGAAGCACCCCTGCTTCTTGGAAGGCGCGGGCCTTGTCTGTAGATGTGAGGCCGGCGCCTTCTAACGAAGCAGCCTGCTTCTAAGAAGCCCTCCCCCCTCCCCCCCCCCTTGTGCGCGCCGCCAACTATCGGCGTCACCCCAACATACTATATGTGCGTCGCCCCCCAGGGGGCGATGCGCGCACCAAGAAATCTTCTAGTATATGGGCGCAAAGCGGGCGGTTTCTGGCCGCACCGCTCGGGAAACGATATACTACAAGATGGGTATACTATATGTTTGGGTCGGACGCGCGCCTCCAAGGAGAACGTATAGTAGTAGTATGTCTTTGTGCGTCCCGAGCTATTTTGGCCCACCACGCGTCGGCGCGACCCGCTGTCCGCTTCCCAGTCCCCAGGCGTCCACGTCCCGAGCTTTTTCCCCCGCCGCCTCGCCCCGCGGAGCGGAGGGGGGCGAGGCGCTGTCCGCTCGCGGGGCATAGCACGTCTCCTCCTCCTCCTCCTCCCCCTCCCCCTCCTCCTCCTCCTCCTCCTCCTCCTCCTCCTCCTCCTCCTCCGCCTCCTTTTGCTTCCCTGTCGACCGTAATCGATCCCACCGAAAAATCACCACCCTCGAACGTATCCCTATCCCCAAGATTGACACGCCAAAAGGCGATGACAATCCTGGGGATGCGCCCTGAAAAACTGAGGGAATCCCCAAGATTGGCATTGTGTTGAGGCGATGCCCAGCTTGGGGATAGGGATATGTTCCAGGCTGGTAAGAAAAAGCCATGACTGCCCATGTTGGACATGTATTGAGAACCCTCTGTTGTTGTTTGGTTGATTGCAGCAGGCCATGTCTACATTGCAGAGCGGGGGGGGGGGGCTGGGACGGGGCGTGCCACTGCCTGACAACAACCTTGCTCAGATTCGTGGCCGCCGCGATCACTGTGGCGACCTCCAAAACCGATCTGGAAGTTTGGTTCGGGGTCGGATTTCACGCGACGGCGGCGACGGTGTTCAGTTCAAGTTGGGCTCAGCCAGAGCGCGGGATCCTGCAGGTCAATCAGTGACGAAACGTTCTGGCCTGCCCATTCAGCTCACCTAGAACATGTTCTACATCAGAGTGAGGGGGCCGAGCGGTCATTCACTGTCCCTGGGTGCGTGGCTGAAGTGAAACTCCGTGGCGCAGATTCTGCTTGTTGTTGCGTTACGTTGTTGTTGTCGTCGTCCTTCCCGCGTCCCGCCCTCGACCCACCCGCGACCCATCCGCGACCCATCCCGCGACCCACCCGCGACCCAACCGCGCGACCCACCCGCGATCCATCCGTGACCCACCCGCGACCCACCCGCGATCCACCCGCGACCTAACCCGCGACCCACCCGCGACCCAACCCGCGACCCACCCGCGACCTTCACGCGACCCCCACCCGCGACCCACCCGAGACCTACCCGCGACCCGCGCTGCGACTCACCCGGGACCCACCCCGCGACCCACCCGCGACAGCAAGCGCCAGCCTCAGTCCGCACGTTGGTCGAGCCTTTGCAGCTGCCGTGGCCGTCCCCGCCTGGTTGCGCACGGTGCAAGTGGGCCGGCTGGGCCGAGGTGCAGCTGAATGTTGAGGCGGCCAGTTCGGCCAGCGGTTTCGCCATCGCTTGGGGCCTGGTCGTGCGGGGCATCGACTCCGAACTCCTGAAGGGGCACGACAACGTCAATGCCAAAGAGTGCGTTATGTACATGCACGCTGACGAGCCGCCCGCAACTGGCAGTAGTTGCAGTGGCAGCTGAAGCTTCAGCGGGCGCGGCCGGGACCTGAGGTGAACGCGCATGTCGCGGCGGCCCGCTGGGCTACGCACTTGCTGGCGATGCGCAAGCAGCTGAGCATGGACGTGGCGATGCTCAACACGACGTGCGAGCGCAACCCTGGCGAGGGCAGCCGCAACCAGGCCTTCTTGGCGCACCTGCAGCAGCGCCTGCGCAAACTGTTCCACAAAATCGTCCGCACCATCTGCGAGGCCCAGAAGCTTTGCTTCCGCATCTCGCATGCGACACACGTCCTCGGCCAGTTCGGAGCGCCTGCGAGGCAGCTCTTCGGCGCAGGAGCGACCATTGTGGAGCGCGGCGACATCGACGACGCACTGGGGAAGATCGCCCAGGAAGGCCAGGCGAGGCAGAAGCGAACCCAGGGCAAGGTGCATGCGGCCTGGCAGAAGTGGGCCCAGGACGCTTTCCTCAATGTGGCGGGGCTTGCTCACCGCACCTGTAAGGCTCGGCCCTACTTGGAGGTGCTGACCAGCAGTCCAGCAACCCGTCGGTCGGGCGCCGTGCAACCATGCCATGTAACCGACGCGGAGATGCCCAAGTATGGGGAAGATATGGCACACCAGCCGCCTTGAGCCGATGGCCCCGCCACCGATGCGTCAGTGGGCGCCGCTTTGCGCCTTCACGGTCGCCAGGCTCCGCGCAGTCATTTGCTCGGTCGGGCCGCCCACGGCGTGCGGCCCCGCGAGGATCGCGCCGCGCGGGCTCGACGACCTGTCCGATGCCGCCTTGGAGACGCTGGGGCAGTTGTTCGGGCAGTGAGAGTAGCTGGGTTGCTGGCCGGAAAGTGGGCTCGTGCGCGAGCCGGTCAGACTCCCCAAAGAAGACGGCGGGCCTCGGCTCTTCGGCCTGCTCAACGCGCCGGTGCGAGTCTGGTCCCGTGCGCGACGGCGCGCGAGCAAGGCCTGGGGGCGCAAATTCGCTGCCGCTGAAGTGTGGGGGCTCTGCAAGGGAAGGACCAGCTCGGACTGTGCGTTTGCCCGCTGCGCCCAGGCGGAGTTCGCCCGTGTGTCGGGCAAGGCCGCGCTCGCCATTGCGGTCGACTTGTGGAAGTTCTTCGAGACCATCTCGCCAGCCGAGGCCGGTCATGCAGGAAGGGGAGAAGTTGCGCTACCCGCTGCGGCTGATATTGCTCCTGCTGCAGTACTGGCAGCCGCGTATCCTGAGGGCGTTCGACAGCGTCTCGCAGGAGGTGGTCAGCTGTCAGGGCATCGTCGCGGGAGGCTCGCGCGCCGCCGCCGTCCTCGGCGTGCTGCTCACGCGGGCGCTGCGCCTTGCGGCGCGCCGCGACCTCGCGGTGGTCCCGCGAGCGCCGGTGGGCGACGTCGCCCTGCAATGGCGAGGAGTGGCTGGCCCCAGCGTGCAGGCCCTCGCTGTCGCCGCCAAGGCCTTCTTCCGCGACTTCCAAAAGCTGCAGGTCCACGTGCAGATGGACTAGCTGGCGCGCGTCTCCATTGGCCGTGCCGCCGCGAAGACCTTCATGCCGCGCGCGCGCGGGAGCTGGTCATCCCCTCAGAGCGGTGGGCGCGCGACCTGGGCCACGAGATCTTCGGCCCCTGCGCCCTGCGCCCGCGTGGGCGCAAACCGCTGTGGGCCTCGCGCAAGCGGCGCCGCTGGCGGGCCATGGTCAAACATGCAGCTGGGCGGAAAACCGCGCGCCTCACCACCGCAGGCAGTTGCCCCCGCGGCTGGTCATGTTGCGGGGGTCAGCGGCGTCGCTGACGAGCAGCTGCGCCACCTCCGCGTCGCGGCAGATATTCTGCCTGGCCACAGGCCGCGCAGCAGCCTCACGGGCGCCTTTATGGCGCCGCCAGCCAGCTGCGCTGTGCGACCCGCTCGTCACCGCGCCGCTCGTAGACAGGCGCGCCGCCTCGTGATGGGAAGGCCGCGCTGCGGCTCCCGACGTGGAGAAGGCCTGCCAGAGCATCCGCGAGGAGCTCAGTGCCCGCGCCAGCTGGCCCGGGCATGGCCGCTGTTTGGATGTCCCTGCGGCGCGTCGCCTGGCGCGCGCGCACTGCGCATTGGCTATGCCGCGACGGCGGGCGGGCGATCTCGCCACTGGGCGCGGCGCCTCGCGACGTCCGCGACCTGTTGGTGGGCGGCGTCAAATGGTGGCAGTGCTGGCGGCCACGCGAGGGGTGCTGCAGTGTCTGTGAGCTGGCGGCGTGTGGCCCCGTGCTTGGCGCTGTGCCCGGGGCCTCTCCCGCCCGCGGAGTGCGCAGCTTTCGCGTCGCCGAAGGAGACTGACGAGCACCGCTGGCGCGGCTGCGCGGGCATTGCGCAGGCCACCGAGGGCAATCAGCAGCTGGGTGACATCATTCCAGAGCGTGAGGCAGCAGCGCGACGGGCCGTCCTGCAGCACTCCGACCCAGACGACTGTGGGGGCTTCGACCTCGCCCGCGGCCTCCCGCTCCTGCCCTCTGCGTGCGACTTGCCGCCCAGGTCCGAGCAGGCGACGGCGCGGGAATGGGGGGGCGCGGTGGTGCCCTGGGGCGAAACCATCTACAGCGATGGCTCCGCCTAGTGCGATGACGTGGAGGGGCTGCGCCGCCGGTGCGGCTGGGCCATCGCGGTGGCCCGCAGGGCCGACCCATCCGCTCACTCTTCGGGGGCCTGCCTGGCCATCGGAGCACGGGGGGGGCAGGGCGGTGCGCGGGGCTCCGGGCAGTCCGAAACAGCCCGCTCGTGTGGCTGCTGGTCGCTGACTTGCCTGGCTTCGCGCAAGAGGCCGACAGCTGTGGCCCTCGGCTGGGGGGCGCGGCCGCCGGGCATGCGTAGCCGCGGAGAGGCGCCCGCCAAGCTGTCGGTGCGCGGCAACGAGGCCCATCGGAGAGGTTGCTGAGAACGCTTCGCTGGTCCCGACCCACCGGCTCGGCAATGCCTGGGCCGACTGGTTCGCCAAACTGGGGGCGCTGGAGCTGGCCCCGCCGCGCGGGTTTGCCTGGGCGGTGAAGGTGCGCGCCGAGGAAGCCGTCGGCCATGCGCGGTGCCTTTCTTGGGGGTTTGCACGAGCTTCGAGCTGCAAGGCTTGGGCGTCGAGCGAACCGAGGGCCCCTTCCCAGGCCAGGGCGCCAAGGTGAGGTGGCGGCTGCCCTGTTTGAGAACGCTTGCGCCGACGCGCCCAGCGGCGTCCGTTGCCTGGCCTGCAGCGCGTCGGCGGGCGCGGATGAGAGCCGGCGGTGGTTGGGCTGCCGGGCGTGCAAGGCCGCCCCAGTCACCGCGGCGCAGGCGGCCACCGCGGCCTGCGCCCAGGCATCGCCGCAGGAGGCCGTTCCTAATGCCGAAGAGCGAGCGGCGGGAGATGACGGGCGCCACGATGAAGTGAGCTGCGCCGCCGACGAGAAGGGCGCCGCCGTGGCCGATGCCGGGGCCCGGTACCTGCTGGCGGCTGCCATCAGCGCGCAGGCCAAGTGAATGCCACCAGAACAACTCGTTGGCATGCAGTAGGGGAATCAAAACCAGTTGCAGGTTGCCTGCCAGCGGCGAATGAGCAGGCGCGCGCGAGGCCCAGCACCCGTGCAGCTACGATCCAAGTCCGTGCGCGCCCCCGTTCACTCGGGCCGCGCGGATAGCATCGGACAGCCTGAGCGCGCGGACTCGAGGGATAAGCGCGGGCAGGTCGAGTTTAATCTGGCTGGGGGCGGTCGTCGCGGTAGGGCTTGCTGATTCTCTTCTCGGTAATGGCTCTTACTCGCTGCCCGCTAATCGTACCTCAGCCAAGTCCTCGGGTGCAGCTTGCGTGGCCAGGAAATCCGCTTTCTTGGAGTTGGCGGGGCGTATTCATCGCGTCCATCTGCTGGGCCGGTGGTCGCGGGGGGCTCGAGGTAGGGCCTGCTGATCTCGGCTTCGATAGTGGCTCCAACTCGCTGCCCGTTGATCGTACCCCGGGTCATCGAGTCCAGCACGCGCGGGCCGCTGCGGCCGGGTGACCAGTGCCCTCGTGCAGAGCGGTGATGCTTCCGCGGCGGAGAGGAGAACGGACCCCGAGGACCGCGACGCGGAGTAGCAGCTTGCGAGTTTCGTCGGGGACATCCCTATCAGGCTTGCCCAGCAGGTGGTGCCTCGCGTTCAGGACAAGGGCGCGGGTTTCGTCCAATGGGTGGAAGACTGCCAGGGCGATGTCCAGGCTGCCCTGCGCGCGCCCGCCCTGTACGCGCCGCTCTGCCTCCACGCCGCAGCCGAGTTTGCGGCCGGCAAGCGGCGGGGGATCGCCGGAGAGGCGTGCGAGGGGGCACGGGCTGGGTTCTCCAACGCGTGGACCGAGATGCGGCAGCTGCTCAACGACAGCCAGAGGATGGGCCGCCGGCGCGACTTCGCCGACGAGCTCATGCTTCAGCTGCTGCAGTTCCGCGAAGCGCGGCAGTTCCTGGTCGGCTCCGCGGGCGCGGCGCCGCCGCCGCAGCTGCTGCCCGGCCAGGGAAGAGCGCGGCTGGAGCCGTGGGCTCGCTCCCGTTCGCGGGCGGGGGAGCCGTTGTCCCCAGCGCCGCCGCGGGCATGGCGACGCCGTCGCTGAAGTCGCCCAGCGTGGGCCAGCCCGGTGGCGCGGGCGGCGAGCCAGATTCTTTTTCGCCCGACGTGGACATGGGCGAGGAAGCAAGTAAATCCGAGATCGAGCGCTGGCCCGACTTCGAGGCCGACGGTGGCGAGGAGGACCGAGGGGGCCCGAGGCCTGGGCCAGGGGCGGCGTCAGCGTCGCCGCCCACGCAGCGCGCGCAGTCACCAACCGCGGAGGCAAGCCCCTCGAGCAGTCCCGGCGCTGATCAAGGTCCGACGGGCATCCCGCAGTGCGCGGCTGCCGGCAGCTCGGCCCCCCTCCCCGCCGACGGCCTCGTGGGGGTCTTGGAGGGCGACGACTGGACTGGGCGGCCGGACTCCTCGGCTGGGCTGCATCAGCGAGGGCAGCGACCACCGCGACTTCGACAGCAGGGCCCAAGTATGCTCGCCATCCGTCGCCACGCTGATCGGCGCGAGGTGCCCCTTCACCAGCGTGGGTCAGCTATTTTATGTTTGGGGAGCGCCATCGTTTGAGTTGTTGTTCCCGAGGTCGCATTCGCCATCTCGCGCCGTGCCCTCTAGGAGCGCGCCCGCTGGCCCTCCGCGCGCAGGCGGCCCAAAACCCACGGGCAGCAGAGGCTGCCGGGAGGGGCGCCATGGTGCGCGTGCGCAATGACTTCCCGTCCTTTCACAGGGCCTCGGGGCGGCGCTGGCGGAGGCGAGTAGCTCGGGCTCGCCGCCGGCCTCGCTGCAGCTGCCCGCTCTGGGGCAGGCCGCCTGCGGCTCCTGCGCCCCGGGGCGACGTCGTGCTCGCTGGGGCGACGGCGCGGCGGCGCCTGCGGGGGAGGCCGTGGACAACCCTGGCGCGGGCGAGCTCCTGGCCAACATCGGGGCGCAGGTCGCCGTGAACAACGAGTGTGGCGCCGAGGCTACTGGCGAGACCAGCCCTGGCTAGGGCAGCGGTGGGCCCTGGCTCGCGCTCCACAGCGCGGTTGGTGCCCGGGCGTGCTGAGCGGCTGCGCAGCTGCGCCGCCATCGGCAGGCGCCGCCAGCCAGGGCCGCCGCGCAGGCAGCTGGCAGGGCACGCCCTGCAATCGCACTGGCCGCTGCGGAGTTGCCGGCGGTGGAAGCGCAGATGGGACCTGCAATGGGTCTTCGCGGTCGCCCACGACGAACCGGCGCCGTGTCAGTCCAAGACGCTTGCGCCGACGGTGCCAGAGATCATCTTGTTCGACGGCGACGACTCCTCGCTCGAGGACGGGATCGAGACCGACAGGCGCGGCGAGGGCGACGAAGCGGCGGCGCGCCCCCGGTGCCACGGGAGGATAGAAGCACTGCAGCAGCTAGTGTCGGGGAGACGTGGGGCCCGAGTTCGCCTGAATGCGGGTTTGCCGACGCTTTTTTGACGAGCGCGCGCGTCCTTGAGTGAGACGGTCCAGTTTTCGTGGGATGTTTGCATTGGGATTTCGTCAATTGTCAGGCTGGGCCTCGTCGTGGTCATGATATGGTCCCGCCATGCCAACCCGAGCCCCCCGAACCCGAGTTGCGTCTCCCGGATCGCGAGGGGCGGCGCGCTGCAGGCGGCGAGAGACTCAAGGGCCAAACTCCGGCAGCCACGAACCGCAGGGGCGAGGGGGAAGACGAGCATTCCATGCGTTTCCCAGGGGGGGAGCGGTTGGCGGCGGGGGGGAAGGGTTGGGTGCTCTCGCCAGATGGAGGGCGGGGGCGTGCAGCAAGGCTTGGGGATGGCGGATCTGGGGACTTCGGCTCCTGCGTCAGTCCTGCGAATGGCAAGATGGCGGGCAGGGCGGAGCCCGCTGCGACTTCTGGCGCTGGTGCGGGGGGTTGGCCAAGAGGGGGGTGGGGGCTCCCTGCCCGTCGGATTGGCTGGCGGACCCGAGGTGGGACCCACTGTCACTTCTGCGACGTGCGCGACAGGCCCGGCCGCCAGCTGGGACAGACGTGGGGGGCGCCTGTCCAATGGTCCCAAAGCTTCGAGTTAATGAATCCCCCCGAGACATGACAAGGCTGCAATGCGACAACCTGCGCTCAGACTACACTGGCCTCCGCGAGAATCCCGCCCACCGCTGTGTCTGCGCTGGGAGCGGACCCTGCGAGGGCCGTGGCAGGTGGATGTGATGGTTTCCGTGGCTGCCGTAATAGCACGGACCACCACCCCAGTGCGTCGTAGAATCGGTGGGGGGGTCGCTGGCGCCAGTGGGGGGCCGCCAGAGGGCGCGGCATCCATCCCGCGCGCGTGCAGCAACGAGGGTGGCAGAGGCCCTAGCAGAAGGGTGGCCACAGCCCCTGTGAGGCGCCCGGTGCCGCAGGCGTCGGATCTGGACCGCGACCCTGCCCTTTGTCCCCGCCCGCTCAAGGGCGAGGAAAACAGCGGGTGCGAGGTGGCGCGGGCGCGGCTCGCGCGGGCGGAGAGGGCGCAGGCCCCTGCGCCAGATGAGCCGTCGGCAGCAGGCGGAGACGTCGACGTCGGCGCCGAGGCCCTGGAAGCCGAGGGGCAGAGCTTCCAGAACCCGCTGCAACAGTAGAACCAACAATGGATGCGCAGTGTCGGGTTGGAGGAGCGACATGCTCGACAGGTACCAGCAATGCGCCGAGGCGCGGCTGGCGCAGGGGCGGATGCGCCCCCTTTTTGTGAGAGGAGCACGTGGGCAGCGACAGTCGCAACCTGGCCAGGATGCTCTGTGCGGGCGCATGGCGGACAGGCGAGCCAGCGACTGAGCCGCGCGCGGCCCCTCGCGGGCCAGGCCCGCGACCCCCCGGCGGGCGAGGCGCCCGCGCAGCTGCGGCGCGACCGAGAGCGCAATGAGCTACGGCGATGGATGCTGCGCGAGCGGGGCGCGCTCCGCGAGCTGCTGCGCATGGGGCGGCGAGCCGGAGGGCGACTGCGAGCCGCGCCCTGAGGCGGGCCCATCCAGGCTGCCAGAAGTGGGGGCGGGCCAGTCACGAACAGGCGCTGCTGAGGAGCTTCCCAGCCCCGCTGCCCGCCGCGGGAGAGCCACTGATGCGCCGGCCAGTGCGTCCAGCGACGACCTGGTCGACGTCGACGACGTCATCCCCGCTGGCGAGAACGAGATTAATTCAGCTGGTTTTCGCGCGGTGACACGGGGCGGCGCGCAGAGGGGGGGCGGCCTGACAGACGCCGACGCAGAAGGCGGTCGTCATCGACGCCCGCATCTGCCTGCGGCGGGGGGGGCGGCGAGTCAGAAGCCGAGCGCGCACCCGACTTGAGGGCGGCGCCTGGGTTCCCAACGAGGAGGGGGCGCGCCCGAGGAGAACGGCAGCGGCCCGGCCAACGATGCGGCGATGCTGCGGATGGAGAGGAACAACGTGCATCAGGCCCCTCCAGTCAGGGGCAGGTCCCGCGCGAGCGAGCCGCCGACCGCCGGGCCCGGGCGGAAGCCCGCAAGAGGCTGAGATGTGTCAAGGCGGCGAATGGCCCCGCGCAGCAGGAGGGCCCACTGGGCGAACTGGGCCGCCCAGAGCGCCCGATGCCACCTGCGCGCGGCGCGAAGGCGGCGGCCGAGAGGCGCGGCGGAGCTCCGCGGCGTTGACGGCAGTGCCGGGCCAGCCGTGGGCGCGCTGCATGCGGTCGCGGCAGCCGCCTTCGCGGCTGCCAGCGCGCCAGGAGAAGCCGCGCTGGGCAACTCGGGCGGAGAGGCAGCCAGAGGGGCGCCGCGGCGTGCGGGCTAGGCCCCCGCCGTATTTGCTGGCGGGATAGGGCCGCGACGGGCCGAGCGCGCGCGAAGCCGAGTGCGTCGTCCCGTTGGCCGAAGCAGTTCGTCGAGAGTGTCGGGGCACGGCAGGCCTTCCGCCGTTGGCCGTTGCAGCCCCTGCGCTCGGCGGGCGCGGGGCGGCGGGCGCCGAGTTTGCCGGTGCAGTTTGTCGGGGGCGCGAGGGTGTGGCTGGCCCGCCGCCGTTGGCCGATGCAGCCCTCGCGCTCGCCCGGCCTGGACCTGCAGGTCCGGGTCTGGCCGTGGTGGCTCCCCCAGTTGGGCCGACGTGGGCGCGGGCGGCAGCCGCGGCCCGCGGGGCTGATGCCGCCGCCCGTAGCTCCGCGCCCAGGGCCGCCACTCGGTTGTCCCGCAAGAGGCCAGGTGCCGTCCTGCAGGAGCTGATCGAGCTGGCGGAGAGGATCGGCGCACGCGAAGCACAGCGAACCCAGACGCCTGGAGGCGTGATGCCGTCGGGGACAGGCGGTGGCCCGACGACTTGGCGACGCCGGCGGGCGACCAGACGGCTGCCGCGCAGGAGGCGGAGGCCGCGGAAGGCCTTGCTGTCGAGAGGAGCAGGCAGGATGGCCCCCGCCAGCAGGTGCGTTTGGCCCAGCGTGCGCGCCGGGGGTGCCTGGCCGCGGCGAGGGGTGGCGCTGGCGCCCAGGCCTTGTTGGCGGGCAGTGGTGGGCCAACGCCGCGCGCCGAGCCTGTCGTTGCGGGCCAGGCGCACGGCGGCGAGTGTATTTGTGCCTCTTCCTTCCCCGTGTGTGTCGCTTGCTGGCGCTGCCGATGGGGGTGGGTGGGGGGCGGGCGCGGGGTCGGTGGCGTGTGATGCGGGCCGCGAGATGGTCGCGCGAGCCCACTGCATTATGTGCAGGAAATGCGGAGCTTACGTGTCGGTCGCGCGCGGGGCGAAGAGCCTCGCCGCCGTGTGCCCTGGCCCTCCCCCGCCTTGGAGCGAGCGGCTGGCGAGCTCGGCGTGAGAATCTGCTGAATAATTTGCACTCCGCCGCCCTGGGTGCGACCTTCAGCGCCTGCAATATTTGGGGCTCGGGTCCTCGGTTGGCTCGCTTCGCGCTTGGGCCGCCTGGGGGCCTCGGGCTCTTGGGTTTTGGTTGTGGCGCGGGCTCGCGCCTGACTGAGATGCGCGCGGGCCCGAAGTGGCTTGGTGACTGGGTCAGCTGGGGCTTGGCGGCCGCGCCCTCGGCCCTTCGCGTGGGGGCCATTGGGGTGGGTGCTTAGTATTTCTTTCGCACTGGGCGTGGCTCGTTGGAGATCCGACGCGCGGGCGTGCGTGTGTATATATCTAGTCCGATGCTTTGTCGGGTTACCTCCCGCGTCACCTATTATTCGTTTGGTGCTGCTAGTATGAAGTGACGATCTCTTCTGTTCCGTCTGATGGAATGTATCTTCGGTTCAGTCTTCTACTTTATCGTTTCTTTGCATCATCTTCCTTTCCTGTATTTCTTTCTTCCACCCACCTGCGTGTTTCTGATGTCTGCGGATGCGTTGTCGATCCTGGAACAATAATAACTGGAGGCGGAGGACAGAGTAAATAGGGAACCAAGATCCCTGCTCCCCCTTCTCAGCTCCCCTCTCTGCCACCCTCTCTGCCCCCCTCTCTTCCCCCCCTCTCTGTCCCGCCGCCGTCGCCTCCGTGTCCATCGCACCGCCGCCCATCCTGGAGTCGTTGTCTCCCTCGTCGCCGTCACCGCCCTCGTCCTCATCCTTGTCGTCGTCCTCGTCACCGTCGCCCCCTCCGTACGCCCCCGCCGTCGCGGTCTCTGTCGTCGTCGTCGTCGTCGTCGTCGTCGTTGTCGTTGCCGCCGCCGCCGCCGCCGTCTCCGCCCAGCTGCCGGCGAAACCCGTGGCAGCCGTGACGCTGCGGCCGAGGGGGCAGCCGTGGCCCGCCAGGCCCGGCGGCGCCTGAGAGAAGGCTCGAGCTTCTCGCGGCAAGGTCCCTCCTCCTCCTCCTCCTCCTCCTCCTCCTCCTCCTCCTCCTCCTCTTCCTCCAGGGAAGGATTTTTGGATTGCGAGCGTGATGAACCAGGATGGCTGTCACGAAGGGTCGGCGCTGCAGCCAGCAGAAGGCCGTAAAGCACGTTCGGGCAAGCCGACTGAACCGAAAGAGCTGAGACATTTGCACGGGCACCAGGAACACAAGTTCAGTGCAGTTCGGTGGGGCCCCGGCAGCAGAGCGGGCGGAACGCGTCGAACCGACGCGAGGATTCCAGACCTTCCCCGATCCTCACTGCTCCCCTACAGTTGGCAACTGGACGGCAAACGCTAAAGGCGGCGACAGATGACACGCTGTGCCCGTCCAGGGCAGTCGGGAGGAAGGACGGACGGATGGAGGGGAAATGCTAAAGAGAACGAGGGAGAGGGAGAAGGCTGGTACGCAGACCAAACACCCGCTGCTCTCGTTCCAACCGTCCCCTCCGGACTCAAAGGCTGGAGGAGCACGGATGGTTCTACCACTGCTACCCCCAATATCCTTATTGAAACTTCCAACCTTCCTTAAGCCCCCACCCTTTATACTGGGCAACTGGACGGCAAACGCCAAATGTGGCGACAGATGACTTGCTGCGCCCGTCCAGGGCGCTCGGGAGGGGTGGCGGAGGGAGGGAGGGGTAAAGCATAGTGACATGGCGGGAACGAAGGAGTGAGGCTGGGACGCAGGCTTACATCCTCCAGCTTGTTCGTGCGCGCGGTGGCCGATATGACAATTGCAACTCCTATCCACTCCGATACGCTAATTTCCCACATAAGAAGCCTGGCTGGCCTCGGCCCAAGCACTCGACAGATGGCTCTGGCTGAACAGCTGGCAGGAGCTCATACGATGAATGGCCGCCGTGGCCTGTGCACTCGGGTACTCGGGGGGTCAAGGAAGATGGGAGGGTGAAATCGAGAAGGAGGGAGAGGGACTGGGACACAGTCTGACAATCCTCCTGCCCGCTTCTGCGTGTAAAAGCAAAGGAGCGGTATCTAAGTAGCAAGGCAGTTAAAAACGCAACGGGCTCTGCGCCATGCTGTCGGTCAGGTGCCGGGCGTAATGTGCACACTCCAGACCGTGGCCACCTCTCAGCTCCTCGCAAACATCCACCAATCCACCTCCCTGCCTCCTCTCCTCTTCCGCGACAGTAGCACCAGTCAGCGACGGGCGACACTTCGCGGCGAGCTGGCATGCCGTGCATTCCTTGCCCCACCAGGCTCACGCTCGCAGAGCATAAGAAAGGAGGAGGCGGGAGTGAGGAACATGTAGAGAGGGAGGATCATGGAAGGCGGGCGGGAGGGAGGAGAAATCAAGCGTGTGAGCACAGACATGCATTCATGATCCCACCTCTCAGACCTCGTCCTGAAGATGACAAGTTGCAACGTGGCCCGAAGCTTACACTGCTCAGTGCTCCGTCGCCTCACTCGGAGCCGGTCGGACCCTCTGGAAGAACCTCCCTATGATCACCACCAGAGCGAGGCACCATCTTTTACTTCATGTGGATGCCGACGGCCGCATATGCGGCAGCCACGGCGGCCCCGGCAGCTCCGGTGCCTCCTTGAGCATCGATAGCGCCGCCGATCCTCCGGCTCCTCTCGTCATCGCGGGCCGCTCTGGAGATAACAGACTGCCCCGGGTGCCCGGCACGGGCACGCGCGCAGCCTCCAGATGCCGCGCGGGCTCAGCCGCGCGCTCAGCCGCCGCGGGCTCGGCCTCGACCTGGCGCTCGGCTTCCGCCAGGCGGGCTTTGGGACAGCGCACGGCTTCGTCGTCCTGCCCAGCACCTCCACCAGCGGCCTGGTCGCCGTTGCCGACGGGCGCCTCCGAGGACGGGGCCGCAGCCGGCGCCAGTGGCGGGGCAGCCACAGCCTCCGCCAGCGCCAGTGGCGTGGCAGCTCGGCCCAGAGCCTCCTGAGGCGCAACGCCATGAGCAGCGGCGCGAGCAGCATCCAGATCATGGGGACGGTCTGCAGCAAACCGCTGCCCGCGAACCGCATCATCATGAGTGGCCTGTGCTGGTGCCAGCGCCGGGGCCGCAGCCGGCGCCTGTGGCAGAGCGGCCACAGCCTCCGCAAGCGCCGGTGGCGAGGCAGCACGGGCCAGAGCTTCTGGAAGCGCGTCGGCAGCAGCGGTAATCGAAAAGCTGCGAGAGTAGGCGCAGTCGTCAGAGTCGGCAGGACTGCACCCGGAACTCGACGATGCGCTCGGGGACCGACTCATCCATGTACGAGGCGTGGGCTGGGAAGCAGTGGCCGCCGCTGCACAACGTGTAGGGGCTGCGCGACGACTGGGCCACGCAGCACGGCATGCCGTCGCTTTGCCCTGGGCCTCAAGGGTCACGACAGCGGACGTGGCCTGAGCCTGCATGCCCGGCTCCGCCGCGGCTCGCCCGTTGCGAGCCTGGCCGGCGCCGCCGCGCCCACCCCCGCCGGCTGTCAGGCGCCCCGGCGAGACTGCTTGGCGGGGGAGACGGGCACAGCTGCGCATCGGCCAGGCGGTCGCCCAGTGCGGCCCCCGTGGGCGCGGGCACCGCCGCATCGGATCCCGAGCGCAGGCCAACCGGCCTCGGCGGCCACAACGGTGCAGCGGGTGCCGGCAACTCGGACCTCGGCGCCCAAAAGCCGGCCACGCCAGGCGCAGGGCTGGCAGGCGGCGGCGGCGGCGGCATCCGTCCCTCCTGCAGCGGCTTGGGCTCCGACGTCAAGCCGTCCAGTGGCTGCGACAGCAGCAGAAGGCTCCCCATCGTGAGCTCGAGATCTCGATGCGAGGAATACTCAAACAATTATCCCCAGACTGTTTTTGGACTATTTTTTAAAAGTTTGTTTGTTGGATTTTTTATTTTTCGCCGAAAATCCCCCTGTAGGGGGACAGGCCCGACTTAAGCATAGCCGAGCCTCCGCGCAGCGGCGCGAAGCGTCGGACTCAGTCGGCTGCAGCGCCGTCCGGAGTCGTCTCGTTGCGCGCGGCCGCCTGCGCCTGCCAGGCAGCGCCCAGCAGGGGCGGCGCGCATCGGCTCAAGCCTTTTAGGTCGCAGCGTGCCGCCAGGGGGCCTACGACTACGGCTCGGGCCTGGGGGGGAAGGAGCGGAGGGACGAGCGGAGGGAGGAGGGAAGGGAGGAAGAAGGGTGGGAAGAGGAGGAAAGGAGTAAGGAGGAGGAGGAGGCGAACGAGGAGGAGGAGGCGGACGAGGAGGAGGAAGAGGAGGAGGAGGAGGAGGAGGAGGAGGAGGAGGAAGGAGGAGAAGGAGGAAAAGGAGGAGGAGGAGAAGAAGGAGGAGGAGGCGGAGGAGGAGGAGGAGGAGGAGGAGGAGGAGGAGGGGGGGGGGAGGAGGATAAGGAGTAGTAGTAGTAGTAGTAGTAGGAGGAGGGGGAGGAGGAGAAGGATCAGGAAAAGGAGGAGGAAGAGGAAGAGGAATCAACACAAACATAGTAAGATCACGAAGCTGAATCATAAGAAGTCGAATAAGACGAAAAATATCAAATAATACTAATACGAAGGAGAAAGCGAGTCATACGAATAAGAAGAAGACGATTATTAGCAGCACTAATATTAAGAAGAAAACTCGTACACGTAATACTAATAATATTAATAGGAATTCTAACACTAATAAAAAGACGAGTGCAAGTAAGGAGGAGGAGGAGGAGGAGGAGGAGAAGGATATTTCGAAGACGAATCGGACATCTACCAGTAGTACTAATATTAATGACTATAGTCATCAAGTTTTTAATGTTACTAATATTACTAACACCAACAAGTGGCACGCGCGCCATGGCTCTTGCACAGAAAGGAAGGGGGAGGAGGCGGAGGGGGCGCGCTGGCTGGTGAATGCGGTGATGGAGTGGCGCTCGGGATGGGGGTGTCGGGGCGGAGGGGGCGCGTTGGCTGGTGGATGGGGGGATGCGGAGGGGGCGCTCGGGGTGGGGGGTGCGGTGCCGTACCGAGATGAATGGGTCAGGGCGGAGGGGGCGGTGCCGCGCCAAAACAAATGGGTCTGGGCGGAGGGGGCGCGCTGGCTGAAGGGTGGGGGGGTTGCGGAGTGGGCGCGCGCGGAGGGGGCGGAGGGGGCGGTGCCGCGCCAAAATAAAGGAGTCGGGTCGAAGGGATGCGCCGTGTTGAAATTAAAAATGGTCGCGGCGGAGGGGCGCGCTGGCTTGTGAGTGGGTGGGTGGGTGGGGGGGGCGTAATAGAGGGGTCGGGGCGGAGAGGCGCGCTGGCTGGTGGGTGGGGGGGATGCGGAGGGGGCGCGCGGGGCGCGCGTGGAGGGAGTGGGGGCCGTGCCGAAATGAAGGGGTCGCGGGGCGGAGGGGGCGCGCTGGCCGGTAAGTGGGGGGATGCGGGGGGGGGGCCGTGCCGACATAAAGGGGTCGGGGCGGAGGGGCGCGCTGGCTGGTGGGCGGGGGGGATGCGGAGGGGGTGTGCCGTGCCGGAATAAAGGGGTCGGGCCGGAGGGGTGCGCCGTGCCGAAATATAGGGGTCGGGGCTGAGGGGGCGCGCGGGGGGGCGGAGGGGGCGTGCCGAAATAAAGGGGTCGGGGCGGAGGGGGGCGCGCTGGCTGGTGGGGGGTGGGATGCGTGTGGTGTGTGTGTGTGTGTGTGTGTGTGCCGTGCCGAAATAAAAGGGGTCGGGGCGGAGAGGCGCGCTGGCTGGTGGGTGGGGGGATGCGGAGGGGGTGTGCCGTGCCGAAATAAAGGGGTCGGAGCGGAGGGGTGTACCGTGCCGAAAAAAACGGGGTCGGGGCTGAGAGGCGCGCTGGCTGGTGGAATGTGTGGGTGATGGAGGGGGTGCCGTGCCGAAATAAAGTGGTCGGAGCTTTAGACACCCTGTGCAAGATAATGAAAATATTAATACGAAGAATATTGATAGTAATGATCATACTAAGTAGATTAATGAGCATACTACTAAGAAGATAAAACGATACACATGAAGAACAACAAGAG